AAAAATCCAAAAAAAAAACTATGTTATGCAGAAAAATAAACTGAACAACTTTTGCCTCAGGGTTACAACGAAATTCTTCACCAAATTTAAAATGAAAAATAAATTTCAAAAATATTTATTTATTTATTTATTTTTGGCCCGGCCGGGCAAGTGACCCCGGGCCACTCTGGTAGCCTAGGCCAAGAGCCATATATGTCAGATAAACCTAGGCTACAAGAGTGGCCCGGGACAACATGCCCGGTCGGGCAAAAAAAATAAAAAATAAATAAAAAAACTTGAAAAACAAATGATATTTTCCAGCTTTATTTTTATTTAAATTTTGGTACGAATTTCGATGTGACCCTGAGGCAAAAGTTGTTCAGTTTATTTTTCTGCATAACATAGTTTTTTTCCAGATGTTTTTGATTTTTTAATTTTTTTTTGCTGGGACCACCTTTGGCCCTTGCACGGCCGGGCCACCCGGGCAAACAAGGCCCAGCTGGTAGCCTAGAGATAAACGACATTTTCTTTTCTGCCCCCATTCCAAAATTGCCAATTTCCATTTCATATCTATCAGACTATCAGATAATGACATTTCTTTTTGTCCCTCCTCCCAAGTTGCTAACCCAATCACGGTGCTGCACTACGAACCATCAAAGCACTGGCCACAGTACTCAATCAGACACGAGAACTGCCGAGTGCATCTTCACATAAAAGGTGGAAAGATACAACACCAAGGCTCAAGCAAGATGTATAGATTAATATAAAAAAATATAGCATAATATAATATGATACATGATATAATATACATACAGGCTGATACAGCACAATAACAAAAAAAAAAAAGAAAAAACATAAAGTAAAATGGCGAACGAACTTACCAAGAACTGCAGGTGTTGTAGAGTGAATCCTGGTGTCTCGTTAAGGTGGTCCACAAGGCGGCCAGGGGTTGCTACCAAGATATCGATGCCACTCTCACACTCCTCTTCCCCCACCTCACCAAGGGCGAAATCCCTTTCACTCCCCCAATTGCTGAATTTCCCTACCCCTAAATAGTCTGAAATCCCATGGGAGAGTACTGGGAACAGCCCCACCCCATGGCCATACCCCCGACAAACCAACCGTTCCGCCTCCACTGCCAAGGAGCTTTGGCCAATGGACAACCCCACCTGCAGCCCGACGGACGGCGCTACGATGTCAAACACTTCTTTAACCTGTGAGCAAAAAAGGAAACAGCAAATGCAGAAAAACACACAAAACGACAAAAAGCAGTCAGGCTAATTGGCTACCACCACTTGTTCTGTGAAGATTCATCAGTACATGGTGAACGCACAAACCATGCCTGTTGAGAAGGCCAGGTGCATTCAAAAAGCAACCCCTCATATACCAGCGACCTTTGCAGGACGGACTCCAGAAGAACACCCGTGTTAAAGAAAGGATCAAATGGATATCTGCTCACATGGCTGCATGCTACACACATGTCAGCGTTAAATATCCGCGACGCGGCTGAACAGGGTGCATGCACATGTACCGGTTGATCCGATACATGGAAAAAGAGTTATTATTTAGAATAATAATAATAATAAAAGATGTTGGGTACCAAAAAAAAAAAAAAGGGGGTGTTGGGTACAATCGGGTTGTTAAGGGGGGGGGGGGGGGGGGGGGGGGACTGCCCTCTTTCTGCAAAAGGTGAAGGAAAGAAACATGTACCCTTTATTATGTTTGAGGGGACTTTATTAGCCCTATGCCAAAATTCATCCACGTGCATGATCTGCAGGCACTCAGATCACGGCCTGCACTTGGACACCCAAGTGTACGTCATGCAATTCTGCATTTGGATGTGAAAATCATCCACATACTGATGGTACAGGTCCACGTCGAGATTATGCACACATTTGCAACGTTGTTTTTTTCTGCCCGGCCGGGCAACCGGGCAAAAGTCACCTGGGGTGCCCGGGCAAGTGAAAAAGTGTGGTGGTGGGGGTCTTCTGCGTATTCACAAAGGAGCCCGAATCCAGGCTCTTTTCTATTTTTGAGTGTTGGCTGTCAAGGAGGTGTAAGGGGGGTAAAAATTGGCCTAGGCTGGTCCCCAGGCGGCCCGGCCGGGGGAAGGTCACCTGGGTACCCTCCCGGGTGGCCCGGGCCGGGCAGGGTCCAGGCAGGGTCCCAGGCAGCCCCAGCTCATAATATTATACAAAATTTAAAAATTCAAGAAATTCAAAAAAAATCTCGAAAAAAAATATGTTGTGTAAGATACTAAGATTGCAGTACAAACAACTTTTGGCTGAGGGTCCCCTCGAAATTCCTTATTAATTTTAAACTAAAAAATAAATGAGAACAAATGAGGTAAGAGATACCCTTTTAAACCCCTCTAGTCACTGTTTAGGGTAACTTTATACCCCCCAAAACACCCCTGGGTGACCCACCACCGAAATGGAAGGTAAGGCCGGATTCTGACTGCTCAGGCCGAGTGCAGTCCTGGCCTGAGGTCAGTTTCTTTTTTATCCTTCCCTGTTTTCTGACCTGCCTGGTTTTACCGGGCGATTCCCCCCCGGCCCAGCTGTCCTGGGCATGCCTGGCTGGGCGACGGCCCAGCCTAGCTTTAAAGGGGCTAAAGGGGTTTAAAGTTTAAACTTCAAAGGGGGGTACCTTAGTCTGATTCTGTTATTTTCTTTTTTATCTTTTATTCAATGAGGAATTCAGATGTGGCCCTCAGCCAAAAGTTGGTTGCATTGCAAAAATATACAACATTTGTTTTTCCATTTTTTTTATATTTTTTTTATATTTTTTTTTTGCGCTGGGGCTGCCCAGACCCCTGCCCAGGGGTCATGCCCGGCCGGGCAACCGGGCATGAATCCGGGCAGAAGATGGGTTTCTGGGCGCACGGAAAAACAACCTAGCATATTTGTCCATTTCTGCCGGCCTGGCCTTTGGATTCCGCAAGCGCGGGCTGTTTCTACATCTTCCTTCTGAAGCAACAAACGACAAAAAGTGTGGGTCAAACAAAGCAGGAGAGAACCCGATGTGGAAACATGTAATAAGGGCATACTCAATATTGCCACTTCCGTTCATGTATTCGCCCAAAAAAACAACAGAAAGGAGAAAATGGCCAATAATGCAGAGGGCCTTACGTACCCATAACAGAGCAGAAGTAGGTTCTCCAGATAAATCGCGCAGACGGATGTAAGGAGGAGGTATAAACTGGAAGTCGAACAGAAGGGGGAGGGGAGGGGGGCAGAGAGGAGCGTCGTTGGGTGGGTGGAGGGAAGCGGCAAAATTGATTAATTCGGCTCCTTTAAAAACTAACCCATTAAGTAATTAACTAATTGGCCATCATGATATACAGCATGCTGCCGAGAGAGTTGGGGCACATACACAAAGTGGTAGGACTATTTCGACTGATTTCTGGATGTAATTGCAGTCAGATACTTCCACCTTAACCCCGGCTGTGGTTAAGCGTCAACGACTGCCGGACAACTGATACCCTCAGCTGAGGTGGGCACCAACCACTGCCCTCAAGGTACCTGTGACGAAAATCAAAGCAGACTATCACTCACCCACACCAGATGGAAACTCTACAGACTGTCGGTTCACACCCCATCACAAGCATGCAAAACACCCACGAAACAAAGTAAGGTCTGTCACAGCCAAAACAAATACACTCCAGACACGCCACTGGCACTAGAGACACAGCATGGCTGCGTAGTGACGGCCCGGCCACTGCCACTCAACCTGACCGGAGAAAACCGTAGCAGAGTGTATATACATCGTTAAACAGTATAAGACAATATATAAGGCCAAAACCAAACAAGTAAAAAAAACATGGACTTTGCAGGCAGAAAGGGAGAAAATGACAAGAAACCGAGGGCTGTGACAGACTGTTACATCAGGATATCACCAACTCATACGGCCGGCAGCGTCCCCTTATCAATGATACTGTACGTACAAACACACCTTAACCCCATTTGCGGTAGGCACCAACCGCTGCCCCTCACTGATACTTTCTGAGGTGAGCACCTAGCACTACCCTCGAGTGTATCTGTGACCCAAACCAAAGCACACTACCACTCACCAACACCAGACGGAAGACTCTACAAATCGTAGGTGATTTGTGTTTGTACATATACGCATACATATTATATATGAAGGTATATATTGCCACATAACTATGAACCAAAAGAGCACGCTAAGCAAAACAAACGGTAAAAAAAATAAAAATAAATACATAAATATTAAATACATAAATAAAAAAAGACAAACATGAAGGGCACACTGAAACCATTCATCTTTCTCATTCTTCTTTTAACTCCCCCTTCACCGTGCCTCTCACGTACAAGGCTTGCCACATTGATGAAGGTATGTATTGTCATAGAGAACGGCTCGGTGGACAGCAGGCCAGACAGGGAGAAGAGAACAAGAAACGGGGAGGGGCTGTGACAGACTGTTTTATCGGAGTTTCACAAACTCGTCAGGAGGCTGAACCCTCTGCAGTCTGCAGAGTCCCCTAATCAATGATCATACCCACCTACTTTAAACCACAAGTCCACGGCCCCAGCCTTGCAGTCCAAAACTTGTCGCCACAAGAAAACGACTTGGAGGCCGGAACGTCAAACGCTGGGCCCACCGGTGATAAATTCGATCGGTGGCCCCGTTTTCATTTCACCCCTCCAGAATTTGAGGTGTCAGACCCGCGGCCCAGGTGCCCATGTACTCGTGGTTTAAACCCAGTGGTGATTAAAACACCAGTACCCCAGGGGGTCTTAGGCCCCCTCTGGGGAGGCTCTGAGGCAAATGCATATGGACCTGCGCGGCGCACTGATTCAGCCACCGCGTTAACGGCCTAAAAACGTGGAGGGACTGGTGATTAAGCACCAAAGACTAACCGCTTAAGCAAGAATTGAGTTGGAAAAAATGTGCTTAGGGAACGCAAAACTCTACCCCAAACAGATCAAGATGCAGCAGCAAGGGGGGCTGCTATTCTCTCTCTTTAGAGAGAGAATGACGAAATTCATATATATCCTATGTTGGGCCGTCGCCCGGCCAGGCACGCCCGTGCCAGTTGGACAGAGGCGGGGCCGCCCGGCAAAACCAGACGGGTCAAAAAAAAGGCAAGGATCCCAAAATAAAAAAAGGCTTCAGGCCAGGACTGCGCTTGGCCCAAGCAGTCAGAATCCGGTCTTAACTTCGGTTTTGGTGATGGGTCATCCAGGGGGTGTTGGTGGGTATAAGCAGTGACAAAAGGGCTTAAAAGGGTACATTTGGAGTCTTTTGGGACTCAGGTTTTCTCATTTATTTCTATCTTGAAATTAACAAGGAATTTCGAGGTGGCCCTCAGCCAAAAGTCGTTTGTATTGCAATTTTACACAACATATTGCTTTTTTGGATTTTTTTGAATTTATTTTATTTTCTATTTTTTAGAATATTATGCGCTGGGATCGCCCGGGACCCTGCCCGGGCCGGGCCGCCCGGGAGGGTACCCGGGCGACCTTCCCCCAGCCGGGCCGCCTGGGGACTAACGCAGTATATATCGTCAATGTTTTCTCTTTTTTTTCCTATTCGCTTCATTGATTTCCAACTCAGCGCATAATCGCAATAGGACTTTTCTAATGCACCTGACTCCAATTCCAGCGAGACCTGCATGAATCTGACTGCAATCACGTCCACAGCATAGTAGTACATAAAGTCCTTGTGCAAGTATGCCCTCAATCAGAAAAACGTGAACCATAGTGGGAAGCAAACGGGGAGGGAAAAAGCTGAGGAAAAAAAAAGGAAATAGGTCAGCGTTTTCTTAAGCATCGGGCATAATTCCCAAGGCACTACTATCAGACACCCTCCAACGGTTCCCAGAATCTTCTTCAATCAAAACAGATTGTTTGGATTTTTGCTTATTGACTTTCCAAAGGGCCAGGGACACATTCAACAAGATTGGAGTGGTATGAATTCACCAAAGGGGCAACAAGAGAGGGGAAAGGAGGGGGGGGGGGGAGAGGGGACCACAAACCCCCACAATGCAAGGAGCTCTGTTTCCTGGAGAAAGGAAAAAAACATGTTCAAAGTTTGCATTTCCGCCTCTCTCTCTCTCTCTCTCTCTCTCTCTCTCTCTCTCTCTCTCTCTCTCTCTCTCTCTCTCTCTGTGTGTGTGTGTGTGTGTGTGTGTGTGTGTATGTCGTCTATGCAGTGTGCGCACGCATACGCATCTCCCATCCGTTCCTACACTACAACGCTCTTCTGCGAGTTGTCTAAGAATGTGTGTGAACGTGTGTGGCTCTCTCTCTTCTTCCTCTACTCTTTCCCCTCCACGCTCTCCCTCGGCTATCTACCCGCATCTCTTTCCCCCGTTTTCTCCTATAACATCTCTCACCTGAGTTGCAAGATCGCGGGTTGGTAGAACCACAAGAGCTCGCAGGCGCCTCACCACACGTGAGGACAAAGCTTGAACAATGGGCAACACATATGCGAGCGTCTTTCCACTCCCTGTAGGGGCACAAATGCAAACGTCCCTTTCCCCACCTCCTCCTCCCATCATCTCCTTCCATACGGCCGTCTGCACCGGGAACAGCTCTTTAATCTCAGTTTTCGCCAGCGCTTGTAAAATCCTGCACCCCGGTTGACCATGCGAAAACAAAAAGAAAGCGCAAAAAATAAATGAGCACAAATGCACCCAACCTCTCATTCAATCAACCGTGTTTAAGATCGATGCTTAACAAAAGCAATCAAGCATTCAATCGGCCCTTTGTTCAATCAACCATGTCACAGAGCAAGTGTCAAATCAATGCGTCAACAATTTATTAGAGCACCAACCATTCATCAATCGCTCACATCCTTAATCAATCAAGCATCCAATAAGCCCTTCGTTCAATCGACCATGTCATCGAGCAAGCAGCAAATCGATGCATCAACAATTTAATTAGAGCCCACAGGGTCATCTGTTAATCAGCAGTCATCGATCAACCAAACTTTCGCTTGCAATCGACCAAGCTATCAATCAGATCAATCAATCAATCAATCAAATCAATCAATAGAATCAGTCATCTGTGTTAACCAGCCATCATGATCAACCAAACTTCGCTTGCAATGGATCCACCGATCAATCAACTCCATCAAACAATCAATCAATCAAATCAATCAATCAATTGACTCAATCAACCGATTCATTCAAATTCACTCAACCAGTCAACTGATTCAATCAATCAAACATCAATAGATCCAATCAATCATTCAATCAACCAAATAAATCAATCAATCAACCAACCAATCAACCAACCAATCAATCAATCAATCAATCAATCAATCAATCAATCAATCAATGGACCAGGCAGCTCCTTTCAGTGATCAGTAAATCAATTACTGTCAGTCCCTCGACAAGCACCCACAAGTGTAATTAACCAATCACAAAAAACTTTTTGCCAATTAAACATTGACGGAAGTACACGAATACCCAATGACTCGGTACCGATTCACGATCACTCAATCGGTCAATCCAATGATCCACCAATCAATTGCACAATCAAACAATCAAACAATCAAACAATCGACACAGTCAACCAATCAATCACTCAATCAATTGCACAATCGACCAACCAATCAATCAATCAATGGATCGACCAGGCAGCTCCTTTCAGTTATCAGTAAATCAATTACTGTCAGTCACTCAACAAGCACCACCAGTGTAACTAACCAATCTTCGATCAATCAAATCATGAACATTTTTCATCAATTAATAATCGACGAAGGTAGGTGAATACCCAAACGACCAGCTACCAATTTGCGATCATGCAAACACTCAACCGATCATCCAATGTTAAACCAATCAATCGCACAACCAACCAATCAATCGCGCAATCAACCAGTCAATCCACAACGGCATTCATTAAGCCATGCCTTTGCTCATCAATCAAGGTAAAACACTGTGCATGCTGGTGTCCCTTCAGACAAGAGCGGTACAAAAAGTTATTCCACCTGCAGTTCAGTTACAGCGCCCAATGGCCAATCAATTTGTTGACCGATAAATTTGTTAAACCAATCAATTTGTTAAACCAATCAATCCCACTTTGGAAATCAGTTTGTTATAAAGGTTCTACTTAGTTGATGACTTTGGCGAGGTCGAATCTCATTTCGCCCATTCTGTCAGGACCACCATACTACGACCATAGTTCAAGTGATGGAACAATGTTTTATTTGATGTCTGATGAAGGATGACTTCCCCCTCCCCCTCTCCCCCCCCCCCCCCCCCAACACACACCACACAAACTGCCAAATGTTCTTTATCGTTCAGACCTTTTCCTTTCTTGCGGCATACGCACAATAGGCCTTTTTTGATTCCTCTCTGGAAGCAATTGCAGTCAGATGCACGCGGGAGAAGCTACATTTTTGGTCAGATACGTCCACCAAAACGCGGTTCCCACATGGTCCCAACGTCGAGGTCCCAACGTCGTGGTTCCCACGTGGTTCCCACGTGGTCCGCAACGTGGGACCCAAGTGGGACCTCGCTGTGGGAGCATTTTTTTCCGTTCATGGTTTTATATTTCTCTCTTTTAGATGGTCGTTATAAACACATGAAAGACGGCATGATCACTTCTTGGTTTCTTTTCTTCTCCAAATTTCTTTTTCTGCCTACCTTCTGCCCCCCGAACAGAGCGTCCGGTCATTTTCGCTGCATCTGGACTGAAAAGTCAGCCAAATGCGGCTATGACGACCAGCCGTTTTATTTGGGTGAAGACCGTATTGCGTCTTCATCCTCGATTTCTTCCGCTTTACCTACGCTCACACTTTTCTCTCTTTTTTTTCCTCGCACAAAGAACCCCATGAATACCTCAAGAAATTTGCTCAGACTGCTCATCTGTTATGCACACACCTACCAATGATGATCCGTAAGTTGAGGGAGTCCATAAAATCTGTTGGATATGGAACTGCACCTCAAAAATCCGCTCTTTTCTGTTTCTTCTTTCGTCAAAACAGAGAGAGCTATAAACACAGAGAGAGAGAGAGAGAGAGGAATTCAGACACACAGAGAGAATGATTGCGTTCCTTCAATTCAAATGAGAAGAGAGATGAAGAGAGAGAGAGAGAGAGAGAGCTGTCAAAAGATCTCCGTTATTCTCTCTTTTTCTTCTTTGTCCAAAAACAGAGAGCTAGAGAGAGAGGAATTCAGACACACAGAGGGAGAGACGATACATTATCTTCAATTGGCAGGAAAAGACAGATGAAGAGAGAGGAATTGACAGAGAGCGAGAGCGCGCAATAGAAAAAGAGAAGCAGCACAGAGAGCATCCCTTCAATTCAGAGCGTAAGAAAGCTGAAGAGAGGCATCGAGACAGAGACAGCGCGCCATACCGGACAGATAAAAGAGGTACAGAGAAGAGAGAAGACAGAAGAGAGAACAGAGAACAGAGAACAGAGAACAGAGAAAGAGAGAACAGAGAACAGAGAACAGAGAAAGAGAAGAGAAGAGGAGATGAGAAGAGAAGAGAGAAGAAGAGAGAAGTAGAGAAGAGAAGAGAAGACAAGAGAGATACAAACAGAGCAGAGAGAAAAGAGCGGCAGAGAGGGACGCAGAGAGAGACGCAAAGAGAGAGAGAGAGAGAGAGAGAGATGGCATTCTCACCTCGGATCCAAGCCCGGCACACTGCGAAGATTCAACGAAGCTTCCTTCTTTATCTCCACAGGTGCTCTCATCCAAGGTAGTAACGGCGGACCTTTCACCTTGAATTGCAATTCGGGCCTTTCCTGCGTTTTTGGGGGGGGGGCTTTTTCCGACTCGGGACAATCAATTGTCTCCTTCTTTCTCTCCCCCTCGTCGTCGTCACAATCCATGGCCGTCGCCATAGCCAGAGCTTCATCATCGCTTGCACTATTCTCTTCGTCGTTATGATCACGAGTCGCCTCACGGTCCTGCGCTCTGTTCCCATCAATGCTTGCCTCCAAATCGACCTCTTCCATGGCGTCCATTCCTCCATCGCCGTCATCATCCTCATCACCATCCCTATCATCTCTAATCACCTGCTCGCTCCTCTTCCACCCTTCGATGGCATCCCTTCCTCCACCCTCCATCGCCGTCTCCACCATCCCTTCCTCCTCCTTACCCGTTCTCTTCTTCTTCTTCGTCTTCTTCTTCGTCTTTGTCGTAGTCGTCGTGGCAGTTTCCTCCTTTACTCTCAATCGCACCACCATATCTACCTCCTCCTCCTCCTCCTCCTCCTCCTTCTCCTCTTCTTGCTCCACTTTCCTTGCCCTCTTTTTCTTGTGTCTCTCTCTGTCCCTTTCCTCCTCCTCGTCATTCACCATCGCCGTGTCCTTCGTCTTCTTCTTCCTACCTTCCTCATCGTCCATCGCCATCGGCATGAGCTGCTTTTTCTTCTTGTTCTTCTCCTTCTTCTTTCTGTTTTTCTCATCCTCCTCCATCGCCGAAACCTCCATATCTTTCTTCTTCCTCTTTGTATCCCCTCCTTCCTCCATCGCCATCCTCTCCTCGACCTCGTCTTCCTCCATCTCAGTCCTTTCCTTCTTGCCCTTCCTCCTCAGGACGCCATCATCCGCTTCCTTCCCAGATCTCTTCTTCCTCTCTCTCTCTTTCTCTTTCTCCTCTTCCACCTTACGCTCCTTCTCCTCCATCATATCCTCTTCCTCTCTCTTCTTCTCCTTTTTCTCCTTTCTCTCCTTTTTCTCCTCTTTCTCCTTTTTCTCCCTCCGCTTCTGGTCCTCCTTTGCCGTCACCATATCCTGCTCCTGCTCCTCCTCCTCCTCCTCCTCCTCCTGCTGATCGACCTCACACTTCTTCTTATCTTTCCTTTTCCGTTTTTTGTCCATCGCCATGCTCTCCTCCTTAATTTCCTCTATCCTTTCCCTCTCCTTTTCCTTCGCCTCCTTCTTTTCCTCCCTTCCCTTCTTCTTTTCGATTACCTCCATATCCGTACTTTGCTTCTTCAGTTTCTTCTTCGACTTCTCCCTCTCCTCCCTCCTCTTTTGCCCCTCCTCCATCGCCACGTCCCTCTCGATCTTCTTCGCCTCCATCTTCTCCTCCTCCCTATCCTTCTTCTTCTCCACTTCATCCTTCCTCCTCCCCTCCCACTCCAATGTCTTGTTTGGCGCCGCCGCTCTCTGATCTTCCACATTACTCTGCTGCTTATTGTCCTCCTCCTTCTTCCCCTCCTTTCCCCTTTTCTCCTCCTCCTCCTCTTCCTCCTCCTCCTCCTCCTCCTCCTCCTCCTCCTGCTTCTTCTCCTTCTTCTTCTCCTTCTTCTTCTTCTTCTTCTTCTTCTTCTCCTCCTTCGTCATTCCTTTCTCTTTCCCCTTCTCTCTCCCGTCGTCCATCACCACGATGCTCTCCTTTTTGTCCTTTCTCACTTTATCTTTTCTCATTCCCTCTTCTACTCCACAATGCGATTCGAATCCTTCTCCGCTCCCATCATTTCCTCCCTCCATAGCCAGAGCTTCTCCATCGTCGACTTTTCCATCTTCCTTGCGTTGCTTGCTACCCTTCGTCCTCTTCGACATATCGGGCCAGGCCAGGCTTGCTAAGGAACCCTTGGTGCCCGTGCCAGCTACTGGCACAATGATCCGTTAGGATTCCGTCTGGATTCCGCTTGGATTCCGTTGACAACCGCGTTGATAGCGATGAAGTCGATTCCCGTCCCTTGGTTTTTATATATTTCTACTAGATGACATGTTGCACCATCGCTTGCAAGAAAACAGGAGGGCATACCACCGAACCCTTTTCCTCTACCTTAGCGCGATCCTTTTCTTTGGGAACCCGTGCCCTCTCAGCTTCGTGTGTGCGTGCGTGTGTGTGTGTGTGTGTGTGTGTGTGGGTGGGTGTGTTTGTGTGTGTGTGTGTGTGTGTGT